TGATGTGTTGTAGGATGAAAAATGACCTAAAACATGAAAAGAATCCTTTAAATATAGGGAACACTCTAAATTTATGGGTTTGGGCTGCACAACTCACCACGTTATGGCTACAAGCTTTCCGAGATTTCATTCCAGCTTCAAACAATCATAACTTCTTTGTTCCAAATTCGTTTTCAGAGATCTTCATATGCACGTGAATGTATTCACAAGCCCCAAAAGTCTATCTAATTACTTTTAGCTTAGTGTATACTGTAAATACTTCATTAATACACACAAATAGTTCAATTATTAGTTTTTCCAATTCTATCCTTTCACTCCAAAACACAATTCAAGGGCTTAAATCACTTAACCAACATTAGCAACATAAAATAAGATCTAAACATTATTCCTTTGAAGCCCAAGAATTTTACTAGATCAAATTATGGTCTGCTATCCCAAATTTAGCAACAGCATGAAACTAGATATTACATACATGTACTACTATAGGATCAATCATGTATGTCTTTGCATGTACTAGACCTGATATCTCGTATGCTCTTAGCATGGTGAGTCGATATCAAGAGAATATTGGCGATAGCCATTGGACGCCCGTAAAGAATATCCTTAAGTATCTAAAAAGAACTAAGGTTATGGTTTTGGTAATTAGTGGAAAAGAATAATTGAAAGTTATAGTTACACTGACACAAGTTTCTAGACTGATAGAGACAACTCGTGCTCATAATTGGTATGTGTCTTCTTACTTAATGAAGAGGCTATTATGTGGAAAAGTTCCAAACAGAAGAAGACGGTGGCAGATTCAACATGCGATTCTGAGTACATTGCATCAAGTGAAGACGCACATGGGGCTATATGGTTGCAAAATTTTATCGGCGATCTTAGAGTAGTACTAGACATCAAAGGGCCACTAGAGATATTTTGTGATAAAGAGGGTGAAATTACCTTGACTAAAGAACCCAAGGACCATGGTAATTCAAGAAACATTAAGAGGAAATATCATTATGTTCCACATGTTGTAGAGGATGGTGACATCATCGAGAGTCGGGTATCATCCGAGAATAATCTTGTTGAAGCATTCACAATGCCACTATCAAAAGAGAAACATAATGGTCATGCTAGGACCATTGGCATGAAACTAGATAGTGATTTGACGTAATCATTTAGTTGTATTTTGACTTATTATGGAACATTTATACAGTATGAATTGTAACCGTTTTTTATATTTATTTCAAAGAGTCTTAATAAAGAGTATTAGTTTGCTCTAAAAATCTTGTTAATTCAATTACTGTGTTTCACTATTGCATGTTTAAACCAACTTCTAAAATATTTAATTTTGTTCAAAACTCCACATTTGATCGTATTCTCAGAAATTTAATGTTTGTATTAAATACTGCCATGAGTATTGGTTGATTGAACAAATTGTTGTGGGCATAGCAATGGATATTGCAATAATATTGTACGAGTACTTGAAAATAGAGATTTTAAGTATTGGGACAAACCCCACTTAGAGATTACTTCATGGATCTAGTGATAAATATTTCATAGGCGACAATATCTTCTATTCTTAAAACCAAGATATATATATATATATATATATATATATATATATATATATATATATATATATGGGGTTTTTCTTTCAAAATTTGTTGTGCATTAGTGTGCTCCAACATTATCCGTAACTAGTACTCATAAATCTATGGGCCCCTCGATGATTTGGTGCTGAAATTTAAAGTGCTTGGTCGAGACTTGACTAAATTGATGTGTTAGATTTAATAGTCAGATGTAATGTAAGAAATTTAATCGGGAAACATAATATTGAACATTGATATTAACTCATATCCATGACTCATGTTCATAGAGATATCTAAAACAAAGAAATAAATTGATTACTTATCTAAGGATCGAATTCTAATCAAAGTTTGGCAGTTATGGTTAGTGAAATATTTGATCCTAAAAAGTTAATGACATGTACTAGTAGGAGATTGTTAGAATGGTGTCCAAGATCATTAACTATTTTGGTAACATTTCTAATAATAATAGAGTCCTTTTGGGTTGGCCTCATGATCCAAATAACATAAGGAAAAGGATATTAATAATATGTTAATTTATAAAGGAATAAATAAATTAATTAGAAATTATTCTTATATATTAGTTAGAAAGATTTAATTAATTAAAGACGTTAAATATTTAATCATCGTGATTAAATGGAATATTCCAATACCTCTTGTAAGACATATAGGGGATGATTTCTAGATCCATTGGATAAGGATAAAGCTGGTTTGAATCACATAAGAATAGGCCCTAGAGTTTCTATCAATCTGGGATTCTAAGAGTTATCTAAAAATAGACTGATAGGGTAAACCTATAAAGCCAAATATTCCTTCTCCTAAAATCGTCCACATTCTATCTCAATCTCTCTTTAGATGAAAATCACATCCTCTCTCCAAGGGTTTGATGGTTTTTATATAAAACCTAATTTTGGTTGAATGCTTTTGCAATTTGATGTGGGAGTTTTGATTCCATTAGAGGGGTGCTCTTTTAGATCCTTCATCTTTGCAAAAAGCTGACATATATGAGATCACAAGGAATTGAATCTGAGGTTGGTAATCTTTACTTTGTTGTTTTTCAAAGTTCGCCGTTATAATAGTAAAACGTATATTTTAGGTTGCATGTGCGCTTAAGTATATCAAGCTTTTATTTTTCCATTACCTTTAGATAATGTACTTGATGCTATAAATCACTAACATAGTACAACGATGCATCATAACATAATGACGAAATTTTGGTTGTCCGATCAGCTTACCAAACCCACTATTAGCACATACGCGTACAAAGAAAGTATCCACATATACTTAACACGTTTGGATGATTTCATTGATGGTAGTACTAATAGCCTATATCAGAAGTGTGATGTTTCAATATTGCTTGTTCATTGTTAACTTATCTATTGGGCGGTGATGGGATTTTGGATGCTAGTATATGAGGAAATTGACAAAAACCGGTGAGACTGTGATGTAAGTTTTTTATGTATTCATGTTATCATTATACAATAAAATTTTAGTTAAGTTATTTACACTCTTTTCTTCATGTGTTTTTTTATAACACATTATGTTATTGGTATCTTTACTTCTTGAGAAAAAGCATAACCATGCTCGTCAAACAGTTGTACCATCATCTTTTAGCATCGAAGTAAAGGATTGACATGAACTAGTTGATAGAAGCTTTTACCCATATTGGTCTGAATATTTATACGATATACTTGTGCTTAGATTACATATACATTATATAAGTATTAGTCACCTATAACGAAATGTACTATAATAATACGTTATTTTCAACTATTTGTGTAACTATACATCCCCATAAATATCAGGAATGACCATTGGTTTTTTGTGGTGTTTGGATTTCGTGTCGTCCGTGCTTACTATCTGCAATACTTCCTTGCATGTTAATTATTGTTCAGAAACCTCAACCTAGTTTACCGCTGTGCAAGATAGTATCTAGAAAATCTTAGTATCTACAAAATCTTAGTAACTATCCGCTACCGTGGTACCCAACCTACACATGTAATCCCCCTCGAGAGTTTCATACTTATACTTATGAAGGTTGAAAATGTACCACAACATTACAACGAGAGAGAAGTGTGGGCAGGGCCGGCTCGGAGATTTTAAGGGCCCTGTGCTAAAAAGAAAAATGAGGCCCTAAATATAATTTTTAATATATAACGTAAACAAACTTAAGACGGTGAATTGTCGTTACGGAAAACTTAAAAGTAAACAAATTAATTAAAAAGGAACATATGAAATTTTATAAGAAGTTCAAGGGTTAATTATGTAACTTTTAAAAACTGATTTGCTAAATATATTATTGAAAGTAAGGGTTGATTATGAAATATATAGCATAAAGTAAGGGTCAAAACTGCAATTTAAATTTAAAAAATCAAAATGTACAAAATGTCGTGCATATGAATTGAATAGACTATCACTTCCTTTTTCATATGAATTGAACAGACTATCACTTCGTTGAAAAGGAGAGGCGCTTTTGCCGGTTAAGCTATACTCATTTTATGGAAAAATTCGAATACTTTCATATATATTTGATTATTAAATATATAATTTAATTAAAACTCGGATCCTATTTTTTTCGGGGTCCTGTGCGGCTGCACCTCTTGCCCTCCCTTAAAACCGGGCCTGAGTGTGGGGTTTTCGTAAGTTAGTTACCAGAGATGTTATTGGTCGGTAAATGAGCATTGATCATAGCACCACCATAAGCCGACATTTTATTATTTTTTAAACATATTTGTATTTTAGTTTTTCGTCTCTTTTTTTTGTTGGTGTGCAAAATATGAGTTGGTTTATCTTTTTTTTAATAAAACCTCGAATACTCATGTGATAATTTCTCTTTCTGTTAATCAGTCCATGCTTTTATTTCATACATTTTCACACGAATTTGCCAAAATTGTCATATATAATCTCAAGGGCACATTCAAATTTCTTTATCCAACACCTATTGGCTTGGATTTATTTCTTTGTTTCTAATATCCATTTTTCTTCTCTTTAGTGGCCCATAACTTCTTCTGTACTTGTTTCCTTAGTACCTTAGACTCTTGATTCAGTTTTTCACAATCCGCTTCTTTAGCTTCTTACATATCCAATCATAGACTCAGAGATGCGTTAATCCCTTAGTGAATTCTTGGAGGGTGAAGGAAGACTAGCATCGGAAATTAATTTTGACCGGTCGGAAGACATTTTAGAGAATGGCTTACTGACTTTTGGTGTGCAATATGCTTTGGTATTCAAATATAAACTAGTTGAAATAGATTATAAATATGGAGGTATGCCAGAAATGTAATAAATTTGAGTGTTAGGTGGAAAATCATAAATAGTTAGGAAGAATTAAGAAATCATGAAGTACTTTAGTATTTTAAATTATTAAGTAAAGTAACCCAACACCTACACATTATTTAATTAAAGGGATTTTCTAATATTTATTCTAAGGATACATATAAAAAGTTTTCATAATTAATATTTCTTATGTGTGCCTTAGGGCACATATTAGAAAATCCCTTAATTAAATCATCCCATCAATAAAAAATTTCTAAATGTCAACTCGAAGGCTTCTTTGGAATCCGAAATACAATCTTACAGTGAAAATTGTTAATTTACCAAAAAAAACGTTATTTGTGATAAAATTCTTATTAGCTAGTTTAATCAATATCCGTAGTACTAATAATAAAAGATATTGAAAAGGTTAAAACAAAAACTTGAGAATACTAGAGTATCATCTTCAAATTATCTCGCCTGAATCAAACTTTTCCAAAACTCGACAAATACGCAAATGTATATCGTTAGTTTGACATAGACCCTCTTCATAAAATGCTCTTATCCGACGTATCTCTTCCAACAATGTCTTTACTAGTCCAACCATGTCATTCCTTTGACCACTATCTTCAACAGGAGACCCATTAACCTGTGAAGAAGAGATTAATCCTAATGGAACTTTGAAGGATGTATCTACATTTGGCTCTTTGAAATTTTCTTCAAGAGCACCTTCTATTGGAATCCCTTCATCCTCTTTTATAGTCGACTCAACATCATTAACCATTTGTGGTTGACCATGATACATAGAAGACACATCATCTATAGAAGAGTCCCCTAGTGACCTTTTCAAAGAATCTTGAGCATCTTTGAAGGATGTCTCTATATGCGCTGATATAACTGACTCATCTGTCTTATACCCTACTTGTGGCTTATGTGGAAAACGTTCAATTTGCTCAACCCCATAACCATTTATATGAACATTGTCTGAAGAATCATGTTCATCTAAGGAGGTGTCTGCATTCGTTTCCATAACTGAGTCAACATGATTAACCATTTGTTGAAGATCATGATCCATTGAAGACACATTATCCATAGGAAAGTCTCCCTGTGGCTCTGTGAATGAATCTTGACCATCTTTTAACGATGTCTCTACAAAAGGATCTTCCATGGACATATGTCCATTCTCCTTCAAAACTAAGTCATCATTACATGCATTTTCACCAACTTCAGCACATTCCTTATTTTCTTGAACATAAGACACGTCAACATGAGAAAAGCTTCCCGCTGACTCTTTGAAGGAATGTTGAGAATCTTCCATGGATATTTGTACATTTACTTCATTAAGTGACTCAGATTGTAAAGAAGGATCTTGAACTTTACTCAAAGGTATCGACTTTGAAGGTAAAGAACGTTGAAATTGCTGGTTCATATAACCATTGATTAAATGATCATCGCCTTCAATAGGTGACATATAGTCCGCCATTGAAGGGCTTCCAAGTGGTGTTTCGAAAGAATCTGGAGCATCTTCGAAGGATATTGTCTCTACATCCACTTCAATAACTGGCTCATCTAAAGAATCCTGAATCTCTTTCTTAGGTATCGATAATTCATGTGAAGAACTTTCAGTTGGCTCTTCAAAAGAATCTTTAAGAACAACTTCTGTCGACATCTCTTCACGCTCCTTAATAACTGACACAACTTCATTCACATGATCATCACTTTCACCAACTTCAGTAAATTTGTTTCTTTCAACAACATCTTCAACCACAGAATCTTGATCATCTTTTAAGGATTTCTCAACATTCGTTTTAGACGAAACAGACAAATCTTGACCCTCTTCAGAAGGTAGATTAATCGACCGGTTAACTGTCTTCACCATTTCTTGTGCTTCATCTAAAGAACGTCCAATTGGCTCTTCTAAACGTTCTTTAAGAACACCTCGCATGGAAGTCTCTTCACACTCCTTCATAACAACCGGTGACTCTTGAGATGCACTTTCAACAACTTCACCATATCCATTTTCTTCGGGATTCTTTAAGATAGGCTCATTCAGAGGTGCATGCAGAAGGGCTCTATCAACATATTCAGATTTCTTAAGAACTGGAACATCTTCATTTTCTTTTACATTCTCTTTAAGACCCGTTTGAATATCAACAGACTGAGATTCCTTTAAACCCATTTCATCAACAGCGTGACAAGCCTTATCACCAAAACTCATTTCCCTTTCATTGTTTACGCTCTCATGCACCTCAACATGATTCTCTTCTACGCACAAACAAAAAACGAAAGGTTGAGTCAGTTAAGTAAGTTCATCGTGGATAGCTGAACATGTACACATAAGTAAAAAAGGTAAGAGAAACCAGCAAAGAAGCAATAGAATATCATTAATGCCTCTAAGAGCTTCTACTTTTCTACAAATTAAAGAAAACACGATCTTACCTTCACCTGTTGCAGGATCTATAAATCTTCCGTTGGGACCCTTCTTCCTCTTTGATGCCCTCCTCTTCTTTGGACCAGAAGGCATGATTGGTTGTGTTTACAGAAAATTTTACTAGTACTTAGCTTTCGTAGACCAGAAAGAATGGCGAGAGAACATGAAGTTGATGATGAGAAGATAGCAATTTATAAGAGTTCCATGTATTTTGATATTAAATTTATTCGATTTGGATAATTCTCTAATGCTAAAATAGAATGAACAGAGTCAATGAAGTGAATCTTTTATATAGAGAAAAGAAGAAGAAAAAAGCCTATGATATTAATTTACTTTAGATTTTTTGTTCTTTTTTCTTTTTCTGATAGTTGCCTTAACTCTTAATGTTGTCAATAATTTCTTATCATAATTTATATACTCTAATAAATCACTTTATTCAAAATGAATAAAAGTCTATAAGCTTTTTCATCAAATTGTTCCATTTCTTGTTGTGACAATTTAATTATCATAGTTTTTATCTTGCTAAAAATAATATAGAAAAATCAATTTAAGTTTTTCTACATTATATTAACTACCTTGTCTCATACATGACCTGCCGGTTTTTGAAAGCCCTATACGAAAAATAAAAATAGATTTCTATGTATTCGTTTTTATATAAGCAAAAATTAAGAATTCTACAATAAATTTATAATTTCTATAAAAAAAAAAAACAAATAAACGGTAGTGCATTAGATAATCTTACACTGATCCGTTACCAATCTGTCATTGATCCATTGCAATCACTGATGTATGCGAAAAACAAAAATCCGGGCCCCCTAGATGACACGGGTCGGTCTTGACCGGTCACACACTCGATGCATGCTCTTGGCCGACCATAATGTTATATACTTTTAAAAACACACATGCTATAAACATATTCGAAAATGATTTGAAAATCATGTTTGAATGTTTACAACATAGTAAATCACTATATTCGGAATGAATTAAATTATTGCTTTAAACAATGTTTTTTTGGTATTGATATTCAATAGAAGGAGTATATATTTATAAAACAAATTAAGATTATAGTGTGATTATTTTCATTCCTTCCTGGCTAAGTAAAATGTCTAATTCATTTTTGTAAAGTTGTTCACCCTTTTAAACAACTGAAACATGTAAAATGTTTACATTTAAAAGTGCAAAAAGAATATGACAAGTCATAAAAAAAACTTGACATTATATTTGGTAGAAAAATAAGTTTGTACTTATAAACGTGCAAACATATGAATTATGTCTACACTTTTACAATTAAAAGTGTAGAGACCGATTTGCTGCATTTAATTTTAATTTCTTCCCGTAAGGGGGGACCAAGTACTTTATAGTTTTATATTTTTAAGTCTACTAAGATTGAATTATACAAAACCACAAAAATATAATGTCACATGGTAAATCAATTATGTTAGTATTAGGGTTTAGGTCCAAGCCCTTTAAAATTTAGCCATTAGGTTTTAGGTATTCTCTATATATTCTTACGTAATTATCTTTTTCTTTTGAGAATCAATCAATCCTATTATCTAACATGGTATCAAAGTTCTAGGTTAAAACACTAATGTTGACCACAACCCACGTCCACCACCTTCCACCTCCTACGACCTCCTCTAATAGTCGTCGGAGGTGCCTTCATTATGTTCCATATTCTTTTTTCTTCTATTTTCCGCCTAAATAATAAAACAGCCACTAGCACCATACTAGAGATCTTTCATTGGTTTCTTCCACTGCCTCGTCTACTTCTACCTCCTCCTCAGATGGCCCCTGCCTTTGAGCCTTCTGCCTCCTCTTTGGCTGGAAACTTCTTCAGATCTCTTTTCCGATTCATCCCCTTTTGATGTTGTTGATCTTGACGGAATTGGCTCCGTCCACCGCAACTCGACCCCTCTTTCTTTCTCGTTATCTTTCTCCGGACTCCTCTGCTGCTGGTTGCATGATCATCGCCGTTTTTGCCAGTTTTCCCTTTTTCTACAACGGAATCACCTATACCTGCCACTTCTTTTCTTTTATTCTCTGACAAACAATCAATGTTAGCCGCCATTGTTAGATCTCTACCACCGCTGATGCCACTATCTTCATCTAGTTTATATGTTTTCTTCTTTTGTTTATTTTCTAGTTTAATCGTCTCCACCTGATCAAACTACGAAGGGATGTAACGATTAGGTTTTAGGCAAAATCCCATTACGGTTTTGCCATTAGGCTTTAGATATTCTCTATATATTCTTATGCAAATATCTTTTGAGAATGAATCAATCCTATTATCTAAGAAATTATTTCTTCTAAATCATACCTACATAGTTATATCCTTGCAGAATGTTTCATCAACTTAGCGAGGTTTGACTTATCTCTTACTATACTAAAGGTCACCCCCTCAGCCTACGGTTTGATGGCCACAACCTATGGTGTGCGGTGTGTGACGAAGAGTGAAGACCTCAGTGCGATAACTTTTCCCCACAACTATTTCTTTTCGTTTTTAATTTACTTTGTAACATCCCAACTGATAGGTATCATTATTATTCCTTCTAAATTTCAAGTTTTAAGGTCTACTTTATGAGTTGGCGCTATGACTCGTCGAGTAGAAGTGGGATAGGACACGTCATTTAATGAGGGACTCGACAAGTCGATAAGGGGGGACTCGACGAGTAGGATCTGGCAGGGGAAACCCTAAATTTCAGGGTTTTTGCACCCTATATATTTGATTATTAGTGCCTCCTACTGTCCTCTATCACCCCTTGGGAGCTAGAAACCCTAAATTCCATGAGTGTGAGCTTGGAGAGTGTTTTATAGCCTTGGGAAGTGATTTTTGTGAAGGAAACTTGTAGATTAAGAGGCTAGCATAAAGGATTTCGTGTAGATCCAAAGTCTACTTCATATTGGCCATGTTTTGGAGGTAACAAGTTGTTACCTTGACCTCTTTTCTTCAAGAATCTTTCATATGTGAAGATTAGGGCTTTCTTTAGCTATTCATGAAGGGATTATGGTATGGGAGCTAGTTCTAATGTCGAAACTTCAGATCTGAACCTCTTGTTAGCCTTAAGTTCATATAATTCTTAATAGGATCATGAAGGAACCTTTGTTTATGAGTAAAGTCCCATTTCAAGATTAGATGTGGAATTTAAGGCATGCAAATACGTAAAGGTAGCAACTTTACGTTGCTAATACACTCTAGGGACCTAGATCTACTGATTGGAACCAAATGATAGCTCAGAATCGCTTGATCATGAGAATATATGTATGGACTTGGCAAGATTAGGAGATGACTCGGCAAGCCGAATAGGGTTTTGTCCAAATTGTTCCCGCCTGGAGTCGGCGAGGTGTGGGAGATGACCCGACGAGTCAGTTTAAGTTCCAAGCACTGGATCGCATATCGACTCGGCAAGTCTGCTAATAGACTCGGCGAGTCGAGTTGAGAAATTCTGGAATCAGTAAGAACTCGAGGCAGAGAACGTTATATTCAGCAAAGACGTCAACATGGACTGTTGACCATTGACTAGTGACTTGACTTTGTCTATAGGGTGTCTTGTACCTCCCAAGGGCATTTGGTAATTTGGGTAATTATTGAGAGGACCACTTATGGACACATGCAAGGCGGTTGGAGTTATATCTGTAAATGTAGACGGTATCATACCGAGCTGCTCGTAAGGTGAGTTATCCTCACTATATCAAAAGGGTCTAAGGCACTAAGGTCGGTCCTTTAGTTGTTATCTTGGTTATGGTATGCTATATGTGGTTATGATCTGATAATTCGGTATCAGGATAGACAGTATGTTATTATGCTCTTATGATCCGTGGGGATTGGTATGTTAGTGACCTGCTAGGTCGGTGCTCTGGTTATGAGGGATTTCTAGTATTGATGATCAGTGAGATAGTTATGTTTGATACCTATATATGTCAGTATATGTTAGTTATGCACACATTATTATTTGCTTAACGGTTGGGTTGAGGCGCTCCTGCTTTGTGCTGAAGGCCAACATACCATATGAGCGGTCCGGAGAGTCTGTAGGCCCGAGGAGGGTGGTCCAGTCATGCCGAAGGCTCGGGATAGACTTAGATAGATTGTACGCCCTGCAGGGCGATCTAGTAAGGCCAAAGGCCCAATATACGTGTTGTTGATTATTTGTTACTGATATGGTATTATCAGTGTGGTTTTGGTATTTTTGGGGTAGCTCACTAAGCCCTCGGGCTTACAGTTTCAGGTACTTCAGGAGATCATGGCAAGGCGAAGGTGTGACCGTACCGCTCCACATCTTTATGATTTTGTTATCGGGACACTCTGATGAATAATATTTTGAAAACATTTTGTAAAAACACTATGTGTTTTTTTGGTTGAAAAAGTTTATATTTGCCTTAAAATTTTTAGATGTTATATACTTTATATATATATATATATATATATATATATATATATATATATATATATATATAATATATATATATATATTTGTGGTCTATTGTGATGCGTCAAACCAAGGAATTGGGTGTGTTCTGATGCAGCGAGGGAAGGTCATCGCCTACGCCACAAGACAACTAAAGACGCACGAAGTTAACTACATGACGAACGACCTCGAGCTAGGAGCAGTTGTTTTCGCTCTAAAGATATGGAGGGACTATCTCTACGGCACGAAATGTACAATCTTCATCGATCATAAAAGCCTCCAGCATATCCTCAACCAGAAGGAACTCAACATGAGACAAAGACAGTTGGTAGAACTACTAAACGATTAAGAATGCGAAATTCGATATCATCCCAGAAAGGATAACGTGGTGGCTGATGCACTCAGCCGAAAGGAATACTCGGGCCACCGAGTGAAGTATCAAACTATGACAATCCATTCACACCTGTCCACGCAAATCAAGGAAGCCCAAATAGAAGCCTTGAAATCCGAAAATGTGACGGGGGAAGCCTTAAGGGGAATGGATAAGAATCTTGAAGTCAAGAATGATGGAGTTCGTTACTTCATGAATCGGATCTGGACACTGAAGTTTGGCGGATTCAGAGAAGTTGTCATGAATGAAGCCCATAAGACACGATACTCTATACATCCCGGCTCCGATAAGATGTATTTGGACCTCAAGAAACTGTATTGGTGGCCGAACATGAAAGCCGAAATTGCTACCTACATGAGCAAATGTCTTACGTGCGCCAAAGTCAACGTGGAATACCAAAATCCCTCGGGGTTGTTACAACAACCAAAAATACCCGAATGGGAGTGGGAGCGGATAACGATGGATTTCATAACCA